GCTAGTTTCATGAACAGCTGATAAATTGGTTGTTTATTCGCAGGAATTTTCTAATAAAACAATATATTTTATATTTAAATAGGTTTAGTTTGTGAATTTCAACAATAAAAACCCACAAACAGTTTCCTTATTAGTTTAAATTTCATTCAGCAACATGCGATCAGCTGTTTTTCGTACTGGCAAATTCAAGGCGAATTAATATAAGGTGATAGCAGGAGTACAAAAACAAAAATTTACATGTATTTTGTTTTTTCTTTGGCGGCATAAGCTGTCAAAATCTGTAAGAGTGTGTGTAGAAATTCAAACAAAATTTTTCAATTTGATATCAGAAGCCGTGCGGCGAAACACATACACAAAATCAGCTGAGCTAGTAACACCACCTTATATAAATTCGCCTTGGGCAAATTCTTACAAGTAAAAATTTATCCAGTAAAAACTTGCAACTTCAACTGTCATTTTTCGCTCTCTCAATTTCCCCTACTTTGCAAGTTTTTGCGCACGAAAACGCCAAAACATGAAAATTCGTAAAAACTTTGACTGGGTTGTACTGGAAATGAGTAAACAAATGCAATTAATAACAAAGACAAATTTAAATTTGAACAAATCGTCGCCTGGCTTGATTCAAAGCGAACATTTGAAAGCACACTTACATGTTGTGCCTGTAGCTGAGTGCGCAAAGATGCTGGCTGCAATTAGTTGCGGCCGAAAGTGTTCAAGTTCAAATCTCACTATGTATAACATCTAATTTAAAATCTTTTTTAATTTTTTTTTTAATTATGAAAAAGTATCTGTGAAGTGCACAGTGTAGCCAGGTCTTGGGCATGAGAAAACGCCCCTCTCGGTCTGAAAAAACGTCATTTCCTACCCAAAAACGTCTTTTTCAAATGTACAAAAAATTGTACTTATTAAACTTTTATTGTATACAAAGGTACATATCGTCGAAGTTTTTGCAAAACCGCCCATCGACCAATTGCAAAACCGCCTATCTTATCGCACTCAAATTTTACAGGAGAGCAAAAAAACGGCTTTTCTTTGAAGGCATTGCCTTGATAGGCGGTATATTCTGTAGCTATTATTTTACAAGTCTCTTGTTTTAATAACGATTTTACGATTTTTATGCATAAATCTCGATACCTGGAGTTCAAGATTACCAAATATCATTTTTGTAACAATGGCGATTTAGGCGGTTGTGCAACTGGTCGATGGGCGGTTTTGCAAAAACATCGACGATATGTACGTAAGGTATATTAAAATGTCATTTCGACAGAGCGCATTTAAAATTCATTGTAAACTGGTTTGAGATCGTTAAAATAAAAATCATTTTATACATACACTTGTGATCAGCTGATTAAGTCATAAACATTTTGATCGATTATGGCTGTTTCTCTTTTGTCTATTTAATGTTTATTATTTTTCAATAAAAGCCAAGCTCATTATTATTATTTTTTTCTTATAGACATTTGGTTAGGGGGTCAGTTGTCGAAAATGCTAAATTACGTTCTGCTAAGAAGGAGCATAGCAATATTTCAGCCTTTTTTGCGTTCATTAAATTTTCAATGAAGTCTTAAGAAAGTCGCCTACTATTTTCTGGTTTTTTATGCTGCAACAGCTTTTTTGATGCTTTTGCGAGCGTGCGTGTTGCAATAGATCGGCTCTTCGTGATTTGGCTTTTAATGTGCAATTGCAAACATTACAATAAGCCTCGTAACCTCAAGTGTTTACACAGCCAGCCTTTGAACACGGGATCCTTAGTCCAAGAATCCAAAAAATGCGCGTACGCCTGGTTTGCATCATATTTAAGTCATCTGTGTCCAAAGCATAAATATATTTTGAAGCAGGTGTTGCAAAACACAACGCTTGTAAAGATTTATTAAGAAGATATTTCAAAATCAGTTCTACTTACAAGATTTAGTAACAGAGAAAAATTACTGGGAAGTTAAAAAACGTCATTTTTTGCACAAAAAACGTTCAAACGTCAACAGTATACAAAAAACGTCCAAATGACGTTAAAAACGTCAACCTGAGTACAAGTACTAGTGAAAAGTTACGCAGCGGGAGTCAATTGTCACCTCCTAGGACAACTCCATGTTAAATGCGACAGTAGAAAGCATGGGTGGTAGATTTGCGAGGTACCGGTATTCGACTCCCGAAAACTGGTGAACTCACTAGTTCTATACTAGTATTTCCGCTGCAGGGGGGTTATAAAACTGCATACCCACAATTTTTCTAAAAGTTCTGAATAAAATTTTTTAAATTTTTTGGGGGATTCTGGTAAGATTTGTTGAATTTCTCTTTTCGAAAGAGTAAAACCTTATTGCACATCTACAGACCAATCGCTTTAATTTGATATTTCACATTTGAAAATCGGGCGAACGGTACAATCTTTGATGCTGCACAAAAAATGCCTTCGCATATTATATATATAGATAGATATACACAGCGATGCATTTGCAAATTGTATCAAAACGGTCTATGTGGTGACAATGTACTTTTTGGTTTCCAATTGTACCAAAAAAGCACAATTGTTGTAACTTTATCATCACTGTTATAAATGTGTATGTAAACATTTTTGTATAATAATAATAATAATAGATTGGCGCTTACACATATGTTAGTGCTTGGCCGAGCTTCTCCTCCGATTTGTGGCGTGCGCCTTGATGTTGTCACACAAACCGGAGGGACCTACGATTTTACGCAGACTCCGAACGG